AGCAGGAAAGAAACTTTTGGGAAAGAAGAAAAGAGAGAGAGCTGGTGCAGGGGAACAGTATGACAATGGGTTCACATGGAGCACCTCAAACAGGTTTGATCCACTCATTTCTCTGCATGAGAAGTTGAAGAACAGAGACCTCTTTCTTTTGTAAGATACCCACCACTTTCATGTAAGCAGACTTATTCACTAGTATATGCTACCCTTTCTCTAGCGCTTTCTCTGGCGAAATTTATCCTGCAGACTTCTGAATGTGGTGCTAATTATATCTAAGGTACACACAAAAGTTCAGTTCACAGTCTTGTCCCAAACTATTCTGCCCATCAAAGCTTGGGGCTGGGTAGGCATTTTAACCAGCAGTTGTTTTTTAGTGAGAAAAGTATCTGTCCAAAGATTATATAATCAATTTGAGAGCCAGAAGTGCTAAAAGCAAATCTTATGCTTCTGAAGCTCCCATCCCAATTCCCAGTAAGCTTTGCTTAGGGGAAAGGCATGAGGAAGAGGAGAAAGCGGGGACTTTCTGCAGGAAGTCACTTGGATTATTTTTTTTTCCCCTCCTCCCTCTTAAGTTGCTTCAAAAAGTCTACCAGATTAAACCTCAATGCACTTGAGATATTCTATACAAAGGGGTTATGTTCAGTACTCACCTCACTTAAAGAAAACTCACCTTTCATTGGCAGTCTTATCCAGTCCAGGGAAATCCTCACCCTTGAATAGACCCCCTGGTTTCTTTGGGCTGGCACAGCCAACAGCCCAGCTGACAATACTCTAACAAGTAAATGGTCCATCTTCCTTGTTGCAAGCTAAGGGGCCACCAGAACCATCCTAGGAACCAAGAGAGAGGAGACTCATATCTCATTTGGCCTCTGCACTGCAGTTAAGAAGAGAGCTGCTGCAGATCACATTTGCCCAAGAAAAAACCTTGGTGCAAGAACAGGGGGTGCAGCTGCTGGTGCAACTCAGCCCTTGGCTGGAATGAAGAGACTGATTTAAAGGTTTGCTGATCAGCGTGGAGTGAAGACTGAGCACAGGCTGCAGACAAAATATGATTGAATAGTGCTCTTTAGTGTTACACATAATTTATTAGTCCACCATAAGATTGCGGTATTGAGCAAAACCCACATTTTAGCTTGACAGTGCCTCAGTCAGAATCACTTCGCCTTTTATTTACTCAGCTGTTCTTACCTGCTTGCCTCATGATTTCAGGGAGATTAGTTAGTTCTTGAATAGTGCTCTGAATACAAGAGTTTTATAAAACCAATAGAAGTCTTCGTAGCTGATCTTAACAAAAGAGTGCTATGAAAGGGTTTCCAAACAAGATACAATGGGAGAGTTTCAGTGAGATGAGAGATGGGACTTGGGAATGCAAGGGAAGAACATCTCCTCCGCAGGTCTCATGAAAATTACAGCCCAGAGAAAGCTTACTAAACTCTGTGGTCCCACTTCCAAGCAACACTGCACATTGCATGTATATCCCATACAGATTGACTGTGTCTATTGCTCTTATAAGTACCGTCCACTCCAGGGACAACAAGTTGTCAGAGCTTTTAAATGTGACTTGCTACATGCTCTTCTCCCCGCTGTGCTCCCCAGTCCCTTCCCCTACATGGTTTGCTGACATCCATATGCAGAATACATTCAAGAGCACTCCCCTTTAGTTTTACCTCACCTGACAGGAGTCCTGGCCTCCCACAGAAAGCATCCTGGCTGTGATCCCTCCAGGGTGACTAAACTGCTAACTTCTCTCATAGATTTCCTTCTCAAGTACGGCCACTCATGTCTGCTGCAACCGCCTAGCTCGGCTCTCATCTGCTTGGGAAATAAATTTGAGGTTAGGTCTGGGCAGAAGAATAAAATACGAGATGGAAATGTAAGTTCTGCTCATAATAGGCAAACATGCAAAATCAGAACAGCCACCTTCTTCAATGGTCCCCCATCCAGATGCAGTGCAGAAGGAAGAGGAGGATAATGGCTCTGTGCTGTTGGACAGACACACTTGCCTCACAGCAGTGTTATACTCCAGAGGGATGTCTGGCTGCATCATGGCAATGTCAGAGTCATAGCTCAGCATGTCAAAGTGTGGATGCACCACAATGGTTTTCACCTGTCTCACCTCTGACAAGGGCAGAGATGTCAGGGCAGAAATGTAACAAACTGCCCTCTAAGCACAACCAGAAAGCATACTTGTAAAGGAAGAGGGCAAAAATCTACAAGCCATGACCAAGCTCAAAATAAGTCATGAAAAGAAACAAACAAGATGCAAGGACTTGGAAGACAAATCGCCCACTTCCCCATTTTTCAGTTGAGAAGATTGCTGGGACAGATTACATAGATCTCCTGAGCCCAGAGTGAAGGCTGACTGCTTCACTGTGCAAACATGAGCCACTAAGGTTTTGCAGAAGACTAGTGTGTGCCACTTGTGCTTCTTTTCCACATGAATTTCTTCCTCCTCCCCATTAGGAAGAAAGAGTCGGCAAGCTTTTTATAGACAGATATATTGCTCAACACCAAGAGAGTAAGATGCCAAGGACACTCAGTCATCTCTGTTAGATTTTAAGACTTTTTACTGCTAGTAATAAGAACCAGATATAAAACATACTTCTATAAACTGCAAGTTAGCTGAATGAAACCAGAGTTACTGGATTTCCTTTCTCATTCCTCAACCTGTGGTACATATCAGTCATTTTGCCTTGCTGTCAATACTGTTTTATCTGTGCGGGTAGATATGTTTCGAGAAATGTTGTAGTGGCAAATGCACCAAAGTCAACATTTTTAATTACATTGCTTGGTTTTTACCTGTTCTGTTGAACCTCTCAGGGCTCTACCATGGTTTCCTGCTGTCACAGTCCAGTGCAAGGGTTTATTGGATCTGTATAATGAAAGCAAACATATTGGAGCTACTTACAGTCAGCCATACAGCTTCCTTATTCAGCAGTCATACATCCCTTCTGGCTCTTCTCTAATTAGTCACTTATTCCCAGGACTGCCGAGCAAGAGCTTCTCACCGCGACAAAAGTGTTGCATCAGTTCTGGCTTTGCTACAGTTCTGATAGCAGACAGTCCAATTAACTTTAACGGATCTCCTACAAGCAAGACCAAACTGTTGCCATCTCTAAAATCAGTGATCATGGAGGAAGGGCAGAAGGAAGGTTGCATAAAGGACATGAAGGTGTGAATATAATTTATAGCTCTCCAGCTGTTTGTGCCCCAGCCTGGAGGAGCAGGAGGAGCCCACAGCATGGGGAGAGGAGCAGAGGTTGCCCAGGTACGCTGGTCACGCTCACAGCTGCACACAGTGGGTGGCTGTCAGCAGCCACGTGGGGCTGATGACAGCCCCATTGCACTGGTAGTCTTCAAGGAGCTTCAGGGTGGCATGCCATGGCCAACAGTGAGGACAGGCCTCCTCAGCCCTACTAAAACACTTGAACAACCACTGGGGAGTAAGCAGGGGAAAGCCACCGGTGTCTGCAAGAGAGCCCGAAAACTAGTCATACTTTCACAGGCCAGTTTCTTCTTTTCCCAGATAACCTCACACAGTAGGCCAAAGACTCGGGAGACATCAAACTCATCTGCTCTGTCTGGAAGTGGTGGGGGAAGGAAAAACAGATACATGAAAGCTTGAATCCTAAGGAGGAGAGCACTTCAGAGAGCAAATGAGGTTCTGGCACTGAAAGTAGGTTTCTCCCATCCTCTACCCTGTGTCCCCACTCCCAATAGGCAATGCACGCAACCAGAGTGGAGAGGACGTATGACACGTACAGAAAATGGGAGATAGGGCACCTGCCTATCATTTCATCCTGGCAAAAAGTGCACAAAAGGGGACCTGAGGTCAGAAAACATCTGCCTCACTGCATAATCCTCTTAAATGTTGGAGGAAAGCTCTTCAGACCAGATCAACTGAGGAGAATTTAGTTTCTTTACCTAAGGGGACATCCTTCAGAGACAACATCGATGCAGTAGTTAATCCTGAATCTTCTCTTCCTTGTCTGCAGAAGAGGAAATAAGAGTTAGCTCTGACTTGCGTTAATAGCTCTGGCTTGTCTCCTCCAAAAAAAAAAAAAAAAAGAAAAAACAAAAAAGTCTAAGAGTCTCCACTCTGGAAGGGAGAAGTTATTCGTCCCCTCAAGCAGCAGCTGGCACACACATTCATGAAAGTAGAAAGCAACAATAGCAGACTAGACCCCAGAATCAAGACTCTCCTCTATAATGAGATTTTCAAGGGGAATATCAGACTGGCAGAATTAACAAGGCTTCTTGTTTCAGGTAACAGAAGTTATTAATCTCATTTCTTACTAAGGGAAAAAAAAAAAAACCAACCCACCCTTGATTGATTCATCTCCCTTATACAGGGAAGAGAGCTCTGCCACAAGTAACGATTCTGTTTTGAAGTTACCTTGACAGAATGCAGCAGGATTAGCCTAAAAAATAAGCTCAGTTGTCTAAGAATAGCTGCAGATGATGCGGACACTTTTAGACACACCAAGCATCTCTCTACTAACCTGAAAGAACAAAAATGAACCGGGCTTTGAACCCTCTAAAGCTGTTCTCCCCATCACTTTCAAAATGTACCAGCATGGTACAGTATTCCCTGGACTCAGCACTGGTTTGGGAGTTGAGAATCCACAGAGATTAGCTGTGGAAATGAATAAGAAGCTGTATTTCTAAGATGAGAAATGTCATCCTGTAAGCACTTGTGGCTTTAGCTAATCTAGGTTTCCAAAAAAAACCCAAAGCCTTAGAGTTTTGGTGACTTTCTGATTAAAATAAGAACTTCGGCAGAAGAGGTGCCTGTAAAGCAACTGTAATCAGTGACATCAGTAAGCAATAGCAGCCAGAATTAATCTACTACAGCTATGCTACAGGTACACAAAAGTAATCTTAATTTTCTCATAGTGGAATTAAGAGCAACCTTCAATAGACAGTGTGAATGCCCTTCATTGCACAAAAAAAACGCCACCAACCCACACTCAAGAACTGTATTTGCCACCATTGAGGGGGGCAAGCAAAGTCTCTCTTGAATGGTTTTCATGTACAGGTTGAGGACCTAGAGAACAGCTGTTAGACTTTTCTTCCTGTTGAGAGCACTCAGTTTGCATAGCATCTGCAAGTCCCATAATTTCAGCTGGACAGGAAGCTTGCACTTTATTCCAGAGGAACTTTCCTGTAGGAATCTGAATTTGTGATGGCAAAGCTGTGCTGGAAAGCATCGAGTAAAACATCCGGGATGCTGAAAGCTCTCCCCTGAAAGGTTCCAGATCCAAATTTTTCAGCCTTCTTCCCCCCACTTAAATACTCCTTTCCAATGGAAACCAGATTTCTTTTCAAGGAAACTAGTGTTAATACTTATTCGGCATTTGGTAAACATGCAAGTAAATTATCACCACAAAATAGATGGAAGGGGGGGAGGAAGTGGTTTGCCAAAGATCACTTGTCAATGGCAAACCCAGGACAATCCAAGTCTCTTACCCAGCTTATTTGGTGTAAAGAGCAGCACCAGCTCCTCACCACTCTACTCTGTCTTTTGGTTCACATACAAGCCTGTAAAGAGGTAGCCAGAACTCAATTCAAGTATCTTCACTTCTGAGCACCAGATTGCTTTTCACCTTAAGAACAGATATCAAGCTCTGCTAAAGTGAGTGTGGTGTGTGGAAGCATTTTTTTAAAAAAAAAGCTGGGGTGTTACAACATGCTTTCACTTGGTCCAAGCAGAATGAACATCTGGAAATATAGGTGTTTAAAAAAGGAAATTTAAGAACATCTATTTCACCAAAGTTAAAGATTTTTATATTAATAAAACTGAAGCAGATTTAGAGTGAGGAATTAAAAAATATTTCCTTTTGAAAGTGAGGGAAAGCAATGCCTCAGGTTAGCAATTTTTCATTAATGAAATTCCAACAGAATTAGTTCAATTCATAAAGAATTCATACCCGTTTCAGTGGAATAAGACAGCCATCAACAAGCACTCTTTCACTACACCTTACTTTGAACATTTGTTGTCTTTAGTGATGCTTCGAGCAAAATTGCTTTTCCTCTTTCCTTTGATAGAGCAGAGGCCTGATCCAGCAGCACACGCTTGTGTGACCCGCAGTCCCACATCCAGCCCTGCAACACCAGGTGGCTCTGCACAAAAAAAAAGCATGGCCTTGGACCAGGAGGTGGGATCTCCTGTGCCAAACATGCACTTGGCCACATCATGATGGGCAAGACAGAGGGGCAAGCCTCAAGGCTATGGCAGAAGCCCTTACATTGCCCTCTCGGTGGTACTGAATAGCATGTTACAGAGAGGGCGTATTTCGGTAATAAAATATGCCTGTTTCCACAGAGGTTTCTAATTTAAGTCTGAAACCATTAGTGCTCACCCAACTGGTTTTCTTCTTCTTCATCACTGCAAAGAGTAACTGCATCATAACTGCAGCCTGGGCTGAGCTCCATAGCAAAGTCTTCAAACTCCAGCTGCAAAGCAGACAAGCAAGAGGAAATCATTGAGACTGAAACACTTAACCCTCTTAACCATGAGCTGGAGAAAAGCTAGATTTCAGAAGAATATGGGCACAGCTTCCCTTGGTGACTGTGTCACATTTTGTATCAAAACAGTCCATTGGCAATCTTGGCCTGACTGCTCCCTGCTGTGCAGGGCTCCAGAGAGGTCTGTAGAGGATGAGGCTGGCCTAAGCTTTGTCTTCAGGCATGTCAACTGTCATCTTTACTGCAACACTTAACACCTGATACTTCTGAACGGTCAGCATCCCATATGGAGTGCCCTTCCAAGAGCTTTTCCTTCAAGCGTGGAGAGTGGGTGGTTTTTCCTTTGTTTTTAAACCAGACTGCAAGTTCTCACACCAACAGAGCAGCAGCAACCCAAGCAATACGTCTGCATCCCCTCGAGCATCCCTAGGTTTAACACTGGTTTTCCATCCCTTAGCCAAGGCAGCAGGAGAGGAGAGATGTCGCTGCTTTGAACAATGTAAATGGCAACATGACTCATCATGGACCGGAATGCGCTCGGTGGGATGCTTGCTGCACACAAGCAGCAACAGGCAATAAAAATAAAGAGAAATGCTGGTGCTATGAGTGGGAACTATTATCAGGCAGCCCATGCACAATGAGAAGCAGACACTTTCTTATAAGGAGTAGCTTGTGGGGTTTTGACACTGCCTTGAGGAAAAGGCTGGCTATATTGTTTGCAACACACTCACCACTTTCCCTTTACCCTCAAACCTGTGATGGACTTCAAGGTAAAGCTATCTTGAAATGAGATTGGTGCCTACAGACTTCAAGAGCTTATGACAGTCACAGCCCCTCCATACATGAGTTCGGAGGTGATGTCTAATTGACAAAATATGCCCTGCAAAGAATCGGTGACCTGGAAACCTTGTAATTTACAGTCTTGCGTGTCACAGATGTTTCTGACAGGATTTTATTGAATCGCTCACCTGAACAGTTCTTAGTGCAGAGGTTTAAGTGCAGTTTCTCCTTTTAGTACTTTTACGACATACTCTGCTGGAGCTTCAATGAGCCAGTGGCACTTCGTGTTCCTGGGATACAAGCCAGGGTAATTAGCAGTATCAATCTTCCCCTCTTCCCCTAACATTGCAACAGTCCCACAGCCCGAACCTGCAATACGCAGATGAGACAGGAGACAATTTAACAGATGGGATTATACAGTACTTTTAATAAACCCAAATCAACAACTTGATTTTTAAGGAACCCAGGCACACTAAGGACAGTTATTGTTTTAAGGGGGTCAGAAAGGAGAGGAAAGGCATTTCTGTAGTATCAGCACAGTCACCTCCTTCAGAGTCCTTAAAGGCAGCTGTGAAAGTGAGCTTGAAGCTGTGGCCAGTGTTGCTTCTGTCGGAAACAAATATAATGGTGACCTGGTCCAACTGGCGGCAGAGGGGCTGGGAAGACATCCCTGCGGGATTTACCTGAGGGAGACAAGGAGTTGGTGGTAAGGGTAGGCTGAACATACATTAGTTCAGGCAAATCTTGCAGTGGTTCATTAGGTGAGATCCCATTGAGGTCTCTTCTCACGCTGAGTGGAGAGACTATTTGGCTTTCATTGCCTATAAAATATTTAGAGGCGGTGCAGAGAAATTAAGGAGATGGGACTTCATCCAAAACAACCAAATATTCCTAGAGGATGAATTGCGTGGACTAAGGATTAACATTATTATCAACACTAATTATCATTAGTACTAAGTTAGAGTGGAGAGGCAGCCAGTATTTGCAGGAAATGTTTATTCTCTATCAAGTCAGTATTAAGCACACTTTACAGAGGGACAACAAGCCACTTTTCTTTTAGTCTCATCTGTACAGTTACCCAATAATCTGCATTCTTGTTGCGCCGCATAACCAATTTTGAACCAAGGAAGAGCCAGCCTTTGAGCTGTGTTTCCAATGCACGTGATGCTGGCCTTGCTAACACATTGGAAACTCGTCTGGACGTGCACCAGCTAAGCAAGGCTAAACACTCGGTTTACTCTGGTACCCAGGATCCGTAAAGAGTAAAATAGGTATATTGGAGACAAGGCAGAGGGGGCACAGAATTACATACAGCTGACAAACATTTTTGAGATGCCCACCACACTGCATTAGATGCCAACACAAATACAAACGTGTCCCTCAGTCCCACCTGCCCTGCTCTGTTTGGATGTTGTCTCTAGCTCTTTAGGTTCATAGTGCAAAATACAAAAGGCTTCTCAAAGTCAGCTAGAATTGCTGTTCTTCATGACAATGAATGACAAGAAGTTACACCCAGTAACCCTCACTCAAAGGCACCCAGACTTACTGATCAGCTCTGTTCTGTTCAAATAGAGGGACAGTCACGGTCACATACCATTTGGTACTCTACATCTAATTTGGTGAAATGCATCAAGATGATTTTGTCCTCTGGCACTGTTATATTCCACGTGCACAGGCTAGAAGTAAGCGACAGTAAAGGCATGTATCTGCATGGCTGCGCTTAGCCCTCGTCAGTCCCACCGTGGGCTGAGAGTCTCCAGTGACTGCTTTCTTGCAAGCATGCACCAGAAGCTGACAACTGATGTCACCAGCTCCACCTGGTAAATTTTACCATCTTCCCCTTTGGCATAAGCCATCTGGGAAGAGAATTACCAATAGCAGAGGACTGCTTTGAACTTGCTCAGCACCAGGCGGAGACTGATGTTTCCTTGATAGCTTTGTGCTGCATGACTGACACACCACCAGCCCAGACCATCACATTCCCCTGCCTCCTGCAGGAGCTGAAAGCTTCCTTGTGTGAGCTGGCATCGATATGGCCAGACCAGTGGATAAAGGGTACAACAGATCTCTAGCCAGTTGCAGCCATTCTGTGAGCGCGGCTTGTACAGAATCTGTATTACAAATAGACTTAGTGTCTTCCTGCCTTCCCCCGCAGTGTTATGCTGTCCAGCAAGCGTAGCTGGGGATTGGCATTGCAGGGAACACACAGCTGCTGTCATCCAGATGCTGCTGACAGTGGTGCCTGGGCCAGCGGTGGTTGGGGCTTCCGAGCCCTGGGAAACACTCCAGTGGGTGCCCCAAGGAAAATTCAGTGTTTGACTACTACAACCAAACTACAGTTACCTGTTGTCAGGGTCATTATCCTCCAAAGCCTGGGGGTACTGAATGTGGCTGCTTTCTCCAAAGAGCGGGATGCCTTGGGAAGTGCACTCTGCTGGTGCAGGGAGAGGGCTTGGCACAGCAGCTATGGAGAGAAAAGGGTTGTATGGGGTATTGCAGTACAGGCACTATCGGTCAAGGCACAGGCTACGGCACTGCAGTTGTTTCAAACACAAAGCACTTGACATGCAGCTGAGAGGAGCCTCAGATGAGAGCACAGAATTTCTTTCCCAAAGTCCTGCTTAAAAATCCCCAAACTTTCAGGAGTTGTCCCAACGACACAGTGGGCTCACATCCACTCAGCCTGTTAAGAGCTGACATGGCCACTCCAAGCTCATTTTTAATGAAGCACCCCTTTTATCTTGGCCTTCCCTTCATCTTCTATGGGCATTTGGTCTGTGTGAATCCCAATAGCTCTGATTTACAAAGGGTAATGCACCCACTTTGTAGCCATGTGGCTTCTGCTCCTTGCAGTTACTGCTCCCAATTAAGAGGCACCTTCTTAGCTGCAGACAGTCCCTTTTTGAAAGCATAATCATTAAGGATCCCTAGCAAAGCCATAATAGGTTGGGTATTAGTTAATACCAACACCTCGGCTTTGATGGCTATGACAGAAATACCACCATCTCTTTTAAAACTCGTATTAGCCCTCTAATCATCTGTATAGAAAAATACAAGTGGCTGACGGGGAGTCGCTAGACCTGCGCCTAGCTGTAAAAGGCACTTCTGATAAGCCGCTAAAACCTCAGCACTTAATATAGTGCCCCCCTTCCCATATGCATTCACAGTCGGTTTTGATGAGGAGATAACCCCCTATCAATCCTGCACGCCGTTTCAGGAGCACAACAGCGCTTCAGATGTCGAGCTGGCAAGCGCTCAACGCAGGCTTTTATTAGAGCAGGGCTGGTAGGCAGCGCTCGAGGGACGCCTCGCCAAGCTGGAAGGGCTGTGTTCAGCCAGGAAGAGGGCCACTTGGATGGCCTTCTGCTTTTCCTTCAGGGGATGCAGGGGTCAGACCTTCTATTATAACTGGGTTTCTGAAGGGGGACTTACCTGTTTAAACTTCAGATTTTGCCATCCCAAATTAAAAGATAATATACCTTGCTGCTAAATTCAACAGAACTGCTGTGGGTGGAGGGGAGGGGGGCAGCAATAGCAGAGCAATTTGGAACCCTATGGTGCTAAACAGACAAGAGAGGGGAAACAAATATCCCAGTAGTCACACCTACCCGGTGTCTTGTGCTGGGCAATGAAGTCCACGAACACAGCCACCCAGGAAAAGATGCCTGGCGAGCCCCGGGCCATGGTGCTTCTCTTGAGGGTATCCCACCCTCCGGCATAACCCACCCCCCAGGACGCCACACCAGCCAAAGCCCAGGTGCTGCCAGTGCTCAGACAAGCAAGGGGGCTTCCAGAGTCACGCTATTTAGACTCCACTGGGGAGGAAAGGTGCCATTTGCTCCTGTGCCAGCAGCATCGACCTTTGACGGTGTTGCATGACAGGCCAGCTTTACCACAGAAGCCAACACAGCCTGGCTTGCTTCTCCCCAGTCACGGGGGCCTGGCACCATCCCTGCTTATTCAGCTATGCTTGTTTAATCTAAAATGCATCAATCTGTTGTTTCACTCCCCTGATCTGACTTGCAGTTTGGAAACCTGCTGTTCCCGTACACAAACCCCTTTTTTTTCCCCATGAAGAATGTAAAAATGAGAGCCATTTCACTAACATCAGCTGCAGCACTGCTTTGAAAATCTTCACACAAGGTCTGACAGAGAGCAGGGAGCTTCTTCCCAAGCTGCTGCTTGGTTAAAAAAAAAATATTCGTGTAAGTACACCCCAAGGAGACTAGTGATGGCTCAGTCAGCAGCCTTCTCTAGGGCAGGGCAAGACTGGGCCTGCTCACATTGTTAGGACCAGCAGAGAAGATTTTGGCACTGAGCAAACTCCTCTATGGCAGCCCATTGCCCAGTGGGTCTGAGTGAAGGTATCAGAAGTCTTGAGTTTGTGTGAGGGGACACCAAGGGAGAGGTGGGAACTGCCTTCTTTCCAACCTCCTGGTAGCATTGCCCATGCCAGGCTCCCTTGCCCATTGCCTGGAGTCCCACCACTGAAGGTGCCTCCTGTTTTTAGCAGAGGTGGTGGCACCTGCGTGCAGAGATGGAGGTCCCACTGTGAGCAAATGCCCAGGGCAGGTCTAGGCAATGGAGCAATCATGCTTCAATCTGCTGCCCACACCCATACTCCCACCCACAAAAGACTCCTCCTGCCTTCTTTATCCTGAAGCTCCTTGTAAAGCCGTTGCTCAGCAGAGTGCTAACAGCACTGTCAGTGCTGGTGCTTCCCTTTCTCCCCAGGAGAGAAGGTTTTCGGGTGGAGGGGACAAGCCTGCTGCCCAGCAGGAGCCAGGACAGACAAGCTGTTACCTTGCACGCGTTCCCTCCCGCTGTCAGGAAAGCCAGCGCGCAGCATGGAGCCCCGCACCGGTGGCAGGTTCCTGCCCCTCAGCAGCACACCGCAGGTCTGGCTGTCGATGAGGGGCAGCTCCACCTCCCGCAGGACAGGAGCCAGCATCCCAGCTGCCGTGGGAGCAGCCAGGCCACGTCCAGCATCTGCAAGACAGCTCACCGCTCTGGCCGAATGATAGCCAACAGCCCTGTCGCCTGGGAGCCACATCCACCCCTTCCCCACCACGAGCGGCTGGGGGGTCCCACCCCATTTGCCTGCCCGATTTTGAGGTGGTTTGGGATCACCGAGCACAGCCACCTAGGCAGGTGATGCATTGGTTTGCCCCCAGCCAGCTCAGAGAAAAGTGCCTCAAAACAGGGTCAGAGCAGGTCATTCCCCTGCAGGTTGGACAACAGACATTGCTTTCTTCTCCCAAGCACCCTGCCTACAGGGCTGGAGAATTTCAGGGGCCACGACAAAGCTCCCAGTGAGCTTTAAGCATGAGAGACCAGCCCTGGCTGGGAGACAGCGCGCTCTCTCCTGGGAGAGCTGCTGGGGAGTGGGAGGCAGGGAAGTCTTCTCTGTCTCCTCTACTGTGGATGAGCCCCAACCCACTGGGGATGTAAAAATTAAAAGCAACGTTCACAGTTTTCTGATATCTAGAGGAGAGAGTATACCTTTTTACATACAAAGGAACTGTTCCCACTTTTGTAAGACCTTGTAAGGACGGCTGTGCTTGTGGGAGGCTCCGATACTCACACATGAATATGCACAGCAGCACTGCGAAGTGCAACCTTCCCTAATGCGCTCCAAGGTCCCACGCTGCAGGAAAATGCTGATCTGCACATCCCTACAGGGGCCGTTTCTCTGACAAGCAGAGGAGACCCGATGAGCAAAGGGGTACTTGAATTTTCCATCTGGCAGGAGTCACCTTTTCTTATGTTTCTATTTCTGAAAGAAAGTGGCTCCTTTCCCTTATCTGTCACCCTTTATTCCTGCAACCGTGACCAGAAGACCCTGCCATTTGACTCACCCTCGGACACCTTGCCCCAGCCACTGGCCACACAGCCTGGAAGTCTTCAACCCTGTGGGGAAGGCAGATGGGCTGAACCTCATCCCCTGCAGAGGAAAGGGTGCACAAATGAGCGCATGAACCCCATGCTTCCAGGACCACGTCTGATTTACAGGTACAAACAGCATCCTTCACATCACACTGTTCTATTTCTCCCCTTCCCAAAACACCACAGTCACATGTGGGTATCTATAAAATGACATACAATCTGAAGGTAGTCACATGTAATTGAATTTTTACACGAGGCAAATTTGGAGAGAGAGATCGGGAAGATTGTTAGCTAGCTTTGACTGTTAACTGAAGCAGAAGGATACTTGGGAAGGGGACAAAAGAAGAGAGGGAACAGCATGGCAGAGACACGAAGACCAGGTTGCCTCTGTATTGGTCTCATATAGTGTGGGAACAGGCCGGTGCTTGTGAGAAAGTCTTTATGTCATTTTCCCCAAAGACCAGTGCTAATCAGATCAGAGGAGTTATGCAGGACATGAAAAAGGTTTGTCTCAGTTCAACCCAGACTCATGTTGGTTAGTTTTTCTTTGATATTGGGGAAAAAAACGAATCACAGTTCTCCTTGGCTGCCTTGACAGGGCATTGGCAGTGAGCAGCCTTCAGAAGGGCTGAGCAGGGAGCCCTGGAGTTCCCTCAAGGGTTGTCCATACAGCTCAGATGCTGTCAAGCCCAGTTCATGGCTAGAGACGCATCTGTTTAGCCACAGGGTATGGGTACCCAGGCATCCCTCAAGAAGCTCTCCTTACGCTGCCTGCCAGGATGTCTGAGCCCTGAAATGAACATTTCTTGGGTCTTATTTCCCTTATTCCTGCCATTATGGGCAAACCACAAAGCTATCGCTGCCTGAACCAGCGATTTGAGACATGACAGTGACAGAAGGTTATTTTATGTTGGCTGATCTGCCATCTGATGGTGACAGGTAGTCATGGCCAGTTGGCTGTAACCCATCATAGCTCTATACAACTCGGGGAACTGCCTTTGAAAATCCTAGGAAGTTAGAGATGTGTGCCACTTCCCCGACTCCAACACCCTAAAAATCACCTCCAGAGGCTTTGCCTTTGCCTGCAGAAGTACTGGGAGCGAGCAGGTTTTAACTCAGCCTGCTTCTCAGCGGGCAGGACCCTTGCAGCCCCTTGCCAGCTGATAGCCCAGGGCTATGGCCAGCAGGAAGCCAGTGGCTTTCCAGCAGCTAGCTGGGAGCTAACGTTGGCACAACGGAGCTGAAGGAAACTGCGCTGGTACAGCGTGTACGAGGGGAACGCAAGGGCACACAGGAATCTGGTGCACGAAGAAAGCATGGGCATAGCCAGAGCACAGACTCTGACCGAGGGACAGACGTCTGTGACAATTAATCACAGCCTAGGACAAGAATTAACCCAATTGTGTTACTTTGATAAGAAATAAAGGCATAACTGAGGGGACATTTCTCTAGCACAGAGAGCACGAGAATGGAAGGAAGAGGGGTGTTTTTTCTGGACCAGAACATCAAATGAGGGCTTTGCCTGCGTAAAGCACCCTACCACAGCAGCAGCTCATCCCCTTGGGGTCCTGCTTACCGTACTGGGCTGGGTGCAGCAGAGCCACATCGCAATCCATGTAGTGCAGCTGGTCGAACGTGGAGTGGATGATGACACGTGAGACAGGGATGCTCTGCTCCTGCCTGTCTGCCCACTGGAGGTGACGCTCCCGTGCTGTCACCACCAGGGTCTTCAGGAGTTTCGTGATGGAAAAAACTAATGCCAGGTTGACGAGGGAAGGGGCTGCTGCCACAAAACACACCATCTCCTGTGAGTTCCCACCCTGACGCTGAGGTTGCAACCCCACAATGTGCTCCCGCCTCGGGAACTAGGGCTGTCCTTCACCAACAGGACTTTCAGCGGGACTGATTTCGCATCACAACGATGCAGAGGATCCCCTGAGCTCCAGCTGGAAAAGCTGGACTCACTTTTAAATGGATAAATAGGCTTCTTGTTTCACCTGTTACCCATCAAGCCATTGTCTGTACCCGGGCAGCACAGAGCTGCCAGAAGGCCAGGGAAGGTGCCAGCAGATTTCATTGCAGCCAGATTGGTACTGGGAAAAGGACAATTTATTTTCACCTTGGGACTCACAGAACCCCTGTGCCATTACCTGCAGTATGGGATCCTAAAAGGCACATGAGAAGCCTTAAAAGCAATGGGAACTGACTACCAAAGTGATTTTGGCCCCATAAGTGCACTGATAACAACATTAGAAAGGAGGATTTAAGAGATGAGCAGAGGCCCACATTTGAGAGCTTTGCGATTATTTTAGGCAGCTATGTGTAGTTTAAATTAACGCTAGACAAGTGTATGCTCATTATGGTTTTTCTGCATGTTTTATAAGCAATATAATATCACAGTTAAACTTAGAGCAATCAACTCCAACAGTCAAAACACCTTTCAGCATTTCTTTTAGCGATTAGGTAGGTAGCTGTGCCATCAGAGCAGAGTTGCCCAGTAAATAGTTGGGGAGCAGATCCCATCTTTAGCAAACCAGGTCTTTAGCAAAGGAGTTTACTCTCCTCTAGAGACCCAGCCTGTGCACTGGCATGTGCAGTGGGACAGTTTTGCACTCAAAGGGAGATGTGAATTGTGTTCATTGTTCCGCCTGGTACCAGGCACTGTGAGAGCCGCCCACAGGAGCTGCACAACTCATCTGTGTTTCAGCTGTCAGCATTTCCCATTACTGACTCTCACAGCACAGGGTGCAACACAGCAGCAAGCTCGTTTCAAGAACTTTGCAATTAGGACTGATTAAAGGTATTCCTGTACTATTATCAAAATGGACAAAACCCAGACCTGAAGCAACTGCCTTTTCACTCCAGAATATGTTCATTTGACAGTCCAAGACACCCCAGTGCTCAGACAAGGGCATTGAAGTCTATTTATCACTGATTTGCAGTAGATTTATAGATTTTTATTTTTTTTTAAACCCCTGCCATCAATGTCTTCTCTAACCTCCAGGGGATTGCACCCCTTCACGAAAGTCCAACTGCTGGGAATTACCACCACACTATTTCACCCATGCAGCCTTGGGGAGCGATGAGTCCAGGCAGCCTGGCTCGAGGCAGCTGGCAGGCACACACTTTATTATGGCTGCCAGCCCTGAAGTGCCGCTCCGAGCATTTTGAATCAAGGTATGTGAGGTACAACCAGAGCCTTTGCTACAATGCTTTCTAGTAAATTAAGATTTATTTTTTTTCCACTAAAGGAAACCCTTCCTCTCATTTTCTAATCACTGTCACCCATAAGTAACAGACCCACTAATGGCACAGCTCAGTTTTAATCCCAGGAGGCTCTTTACTGGACCTGGAAAGTTCCCACACTTCCCAGCAATGTCTGCCACCAGGATTGCCTAATGATGCAAACACTGCAGCAATGGCAACATAGGAACAGCACTGGCAGCATAACACTGGAGAGTAAAAGCACCAGCTAGTTTTGCATTGAATAGAGAAACAAGGAGGTGCCTCATTATCAAGGTTAATCTTGCACATTGAAATTTTTATACCATAGCAACTTTCTCATTATTCAACATCAGTCCTCAAAAATGATGCTCAAGTTGAGCAAGAAACAGATGTGAAGCTGACGGGTCTGCAATTACATTATAATGGATTATAAAAGGGCTGGCAAAGGGGCCACTTATATCATTTTCCCTGCCCATTAAGAGGTCTGTAGCATGACCTGTAAAGCTGGTCTTGCATTAAAAGTACAGAGGCCAATGTGACTGCTAGGAGTAATGGGACAGTTGCCAGGGCTGCTTTTACCAAGAAGCGGCGGTGCTTCTCCTCCTGCTTCAGAAATGCTCCTCTGTTTTTTGCGCTGAACAGGACATTTGAATTTGAGTTGCAATCTCCCTGTGTGGAGGAGCCCTCCCCCCAGACCATGAGGAGAAACATGTGGAAACCCAGCAGGAGCAAGCAGAGTGCTGGGGGGTGCACGAGTTGCTCGAGGACCCATGGCTGTGGCAGAGCACTGGCCCCACTCAGCCCCAAGGGGGTCATTTCCCTGCATGACCTCACACCTGGGCCCAGGAGCTCCTCTCATCCTTAAAGGAACTTCTGCTGAAAGAGCTGTCAAGAGTGATTGAGGAGGTCAGGTTGACTTACTGCTCCAGGTCAACCACACAGTGATCAGTGGTAACCACATCTTCTCAGACCAGACCACCACCTGGAAATATAGATGGCCTGGTTTGAAGGACACCTTCAAAGAAAGGGTCAGGTACATTTTAAGATGATGTGACTCCTGTTTCCTCCCAAAATGTGAAATAACAAAGATCAGCCCAGCCCGGAAAACAACTTTTTCCTTCCAGTATTAGGTTGTGGGATGCCCAGCTGTCTGGAGCCCAGAGGAGTAATTTCCAAGCCTTGGCTGACCCTTGGCAGCCACCTTCAGCCCCAGTGGTGCATGAGAGGAGTAAGACTCTGGAGCACACCAAATCAGAGGGGATTGGACAGATATCTCATTCCTCTTCCTTGCTTTCCCTGCCTTCTAGGGATTGATGCTAGCCAGGGGTCCAGAGGATCCACCTCCCTGACCCCAGCATCCTATCCTCTCCTCTCCCTACACCACCCCCTCCTTTGCCTTCCTGCCCTTCATGCTACTATCTGCATACATTTTCAGGCTGCTGCATGCACAGGGATTGGGTTTTGGGGAGAGGGAGGTGGCAAATTCTGTTTGCCACGGGTGCCAGTGTTTGCTCTGGCAACATGCAAACAAGTAGTACTTTTCTAAATAGAACCGTGCCCTGCTCAGTTACTCATAAAACATCATCAGTCGTTGCTCTGTGCTTTTCCTTATGTGAACACAAACCACCAGGCAAGGTGACTTTCCTCTGCAGCGGGAAACCAGGGACCTTCCTTTCCTACCTCTACAGCCTCTTTCTATACCATAAACCCCAACAAATCCTCAGCTGGTGCACACCACAAAAGCTCTGCAGCTGCATTAGCTCACACCAGCCAGACATCTCATCTCAACTATTAGATCAGCTTATTCCCTCCCACTGTGGGAGGGGAGGCAGCCAGGGAAGCTGGGCAAGGAGGACTTTTTGTCCGACTTCCACCCCTGAGTGAGCAGTGTTCAATGACTTGAGGGTGAAAGAGAGATGCTCCTGCCTCTCCTCCCTCTTCCCCAGAGGGAAGGCAGCACACTGCAACACAGACCTGTCAGGGCTGGCCCCCAGGCACCGACTCTCTCCCAGAAATGATCCAAGAGAAGAATCCCAGTGGCAGAGCATTCTCTGGGCTCTTCAGGTAAATGGGACAAACTCCACACTTCAGGCCTACACAGAAGACAGAAACAAGAGCGTTTCACAGTGAGACAATCCCCCACATGCTCAAATGCATCACCTCAGGCTCTTCTGGCAGGTAGGGAATTAATGGGACAAATCCCAGGTGTCACAGCTTTCCTGGCTCCAGCTTGAGCTCAGAGCTGAAGGCAATTATATGGGGATAAATGAAAACACACTGAAATTGCATTTCTTGATAAGAAGCTGATGTGTGCAAAGCTGAGGTCTCCTGTGAGGTACTTTCATGATGTGTGTGCACAGTCATAAAAAAAAAAGCAAATTTACATTTAATCCACTAGTCTAATTATTCTTGATGAAATGCAACTGGGGCTTACAAAGTTAAGTAACAAATGCAACAGGTTACAATGATGCCACCAGACTTTACTCAATGTTTATTGTTTCAAAGCTTCCACACCTTAAGTGCCCTGGGGCACTTAACCTGAGCAAGTAAAGTCATGAAAGACATTGTCCCTGAACTGACAGAGCTGTGCTGGCCCAGCACTCCATCTTGGCTTTGGTCTGAAGTACATCACAAGGAGACAGAGCTTTCTCACATCACTTTTGGCATCGATTGTGTCTCAAAAACATGGACAATGAGCACAGGGAAAGTTTGACTTGGAGCAGGGTCCGGCCAGGGACGGCTGGCTCTGATTAAGTTTTAGATGCTTCACTGAACTGTGCATTCTGAGATAAATTCGTGGCAATCACATTTATGTTCTCTGGGAAACCCCTCTCAGCCCGCAACCAGCAGGGAGGGATGCACACACTGACAGGCCTGCCAGACCACATGCCGGGCGGAGGAGAGAAAGATGTGCTGCTCCCCTGGGTCAGCTCCGAAATGTGATCATCACAGCAAAGATCACACAGGAGGGGTGATGCCAAATACTAGGGATGCAAAGAAAAAGAACTGATTGCAACTCCTCATACCAGAGGTCTGCTTCTCTAGGCTGGGTGGTTTCAGGAGAGGGGTAACATCAAGCTTCTGGCTCCTTTGCTGAGAAGAGGACAGCAGCTCTTCCTCCACTCCCTTCAACTGACCCATGCCTGCACTGGCTAAAAATGACTTTGTTAATCACTCCTGTCCAATGTGTCTCTCATGCCAATAGGAGGAGTCCCCTGCCTCTCCCAAGCCAAGGCTGGGATAAGAGTTCAGTTCCCAGCCATGCAAACATAAGCAATATAATGCTCATTATTTAGAAAGTACTTGCATTGTGTTTGCCCCGGTCAGAGCCTGGAATAATTCACTGGAGTCACTAGGAGGCTGAGTCTGGATCCAAAATGTTACCAACTATCACAACGACACCTCCTCCAGCCCTCTCTAACTTTGGGTCCTATGTCCACTGTGTAGACTTGAAGGCAGTAGTACTGTTTTAACCTTCCCATCAGGTTGGCAGGCATTAGAAAGCCCACCAATCTCTTATACCACATGCCAGTGAGCTGAGAAGCCCATATCTTTCTCCTCTACCTGGACAGCCAAC